CATGGTTTGCCTATACGTACAAATATTTAGAAAACAGGACAAGTGAATTGTACTTAAACAATTGTCAGACTGTCATGAGTTTGTTTTCGCGTATCTGTTGACCGACTTATGTAGCTGAGTATTAGCGAATTGCTGTGTTATGTCTGTCATCGTTTAGGCCTATTTGAAGTTTGGACGGAACTCGACTCAGTGATTTGGAACTAATTACGAGATAACCGTCACTATTCTGACTACGATTTCTGACAGTTGGTATCCGTAGTTATTAATGTAGTGAACGATTAATCAAAAGATATGACGTATTCAGTACTTAGTGTGATTGGCTTTATGATTGAAGGTTACGCCCTAGAGTCTTTTTACTGTTTTGTAATTGGTTAGAGTTTTGAAAATGAATAAAGAGAGTTTTGAGAGTTGGTCTTGGCGAGTACACCAGAACAGACGCAGTCCTGGACAGTCTAAGTCCAGTCCTAGAGAGTCTCGGGCGAGTCTTGCGTCAGCCTTGCGTTAATCTTGGGGATTTTTCTCCAGGGCGCTGTGTCTTATAGAGTGCTCGACTGATCGACTAAGACGAGAGTTGAAACGTATTTCGTTGTGAGCGTCCATTTGACTGATTACAGACGTTGTCTTTCAGTTTACGAATTGTTATTATGATATATTAGACCATAAGCGAAGAACAATTAAAGTCCATTGCACCAGAAACACGCCTGTTCTAGTAAAAAGTGACTTGTTTATCGGATAAAAAATAAACAGCATCGCGTACAATTATTTGTTCAATATTTAACATGAAAAAAGTCAGTCACTTTAAAGGGCAATCTGGATGATTTTTATACAGCATGTTTCGAACATTTTGTATGATATTATATCTTATCAAAATGAATATATGTTTCATCGTAAAATAGAAGAGGTTTATTCGACAACTTGGAGAAACATACAATATGCGTTTGGCGAATTAATAAAAACTTCATTAAAGTTGCGCCATGGTTTGCCTATACGTACAAATATTTAGAAAACAGGACAGGTGAATTGTACTTAAACAATTGTCAGACACTGGCCTGAGATCTTGAGTTGCAATTCACGTGACTCGGTGTACCAATGAACATCGACAAACATAATATACTTACATAAAGGAAATTCCCCAATGTTTACTAGAGTAATCCAATGTAAGTGGTACCAAACCTCCTAATACTAACATAACAAGAGTTGGTGCTATGGTCAGCGGGCCAATGAAGCGAATCAGAAATCCAAACAGGCCACTGAAGCAAAGAACAATCTGAAAGACTCCAGCCAGCAAGACAGATCCTTGAATCTGTAAAATATGTGGTACTGTATTAACCAGTCCGACTGTGTTATGATGCAATATAGATTACAATATAATGTAAAATGAGTTACAATATCATATAATAAATTACGATATCATGTAACAGATTCCGATATCATGTAATAGATTACGATATCATGTAGCAGATTACGGTATAATATAATATATAATGTAATAGATTATGGTATAATATAATATATAATGTAATAGATTATGGTATCGTGTAATAAAATACGGTATCAAGTAATAGATTACGATATCATGTAGTAGAATATGATATCATATTGCCCTTTCATGTAATAGATTACGGTACGTTATTGTAATACATTACGGTATCATGTAATAGATTACGATATTGTGTAATAGGTTACGATATCATGTAGCAGATTACGGTTTAAAATAATATATAATGTAATAGATTATAGTATCATGTAATAGATTACGATATCGTGTAGTAGATTAAGATATCATGTAATAGTTTACGATATCATGTAGTAGAATATGATATTATATTGCCCTTTAATGTAATAGATTACGGTATGTTATTGTAATGCATTACGGTATCATGTAATATATTACGATATTGTGTAATAGATTACGATATCATGTAACGATACGAGCATCGATTATGTTAATGGCAGATTATGTGTGTGAAATGCATAGCGCAGTATTCATTCGAGTCAAGAAACACTAATTAAAGAAAAAATAAGTCTCAGTCCTGATCAGTTACCATATAGTCAAACTTGTTTATTCATTGATTAATCACTGATTTCTGTTTTTTGGATACCACATAATTAAAAAGTCTTAATCCTGTAGCGGATTTTCCCCTTCTACAAGCAGATGTTGCTAGGGTTTCAAGTCGATGTTTACGTTG